CTGAAACTGAGAAACTTGTCCATCTGCAGAATAAGAAGAGTTGAGGGAACAAAACTGATGTTAGAGAGACAAGGTAAGAGGCTGCTGAGATAGAGAAACCAAAGATGAGCAGATAGAGCCAGGCCCGGAGGCACATTCTTGAATTCCAGAGGTCTGGGAGCCTGAGGCAGGAGGGTTGCAAGTTCTAGCCCAGACAGCCAAATAGCTCAGCGGATTAAAGTGCCTGCAAGCAGCAGGGGCTGGGCGTTTGATCCCCAGGCCTGATATGCGGGCCCCACCCCCCAGGGCACACTGACAAGGCAATTGAGACTAGTTATAGTGGCATATGCCTATAATCCCAGCTCTTGGGAGGCTGTAAACAAGTCAGATCTAGTAGTGAGGCCCTGAACACCCTGTAGACCCTTCTCTAAAATACAGATAGATAGATAGATAGATAGATAGATAGATAGATAGACAGACAGACAGATAAAAGAAAGTAGTGCAGTTCAGAGGCCCTGCATTCAGTCCCTCCTTTGGGGGAAGGGGGGAACAGTTGGGCAAGATTGTGAATGCTGAAGCCCAAGAATCTAGTAATTGATGTTGCAGGTGAGGACAAAAGAGGGTTGGACATGAACTTTCTTTCACCATGCCTTGGGAAAGGAAGTGAAGAAAGCTGAATGGAAAAGGAAGAACAGATGTGGTGAGGAGCATTTAATTGAGCTAACCAACGAAGCCACACAAGAAGCACAGGGCAAAACAGACAGCCCTTGCCTTCGCGGGCCTTAGTCTTATGTGAGCAATGAAAAGAAATAAACGTGAGGGAAGAACGCTGCAGGGCAGGCCCGCATGCCGCGGGGTCTCAGGGAGTGCCCACATCCTTGCCGAAGTCCTGGTAAGTCTCCTGGAGACAGTGACGTTTATAATTATTCTTTAAGCATGAGAGAGCTATCATCCAGGCAAAGAGCTGGCAAGAAAGCACTGCAGGCAAAGGCACAGTATGTGCAGATGTCTATCCAATTCCCTCTGGCAGAGGAGACATAGGGAAGTGAGATCGGAGGCTGAAGGGATGCAGACATTAGGTCACGTAGGGGCTTAAGAACGTACAAGAGCATGACCATGTTCACCCAGGGGCACGCAGGCGTCTGTAGGAAGGTGGCGTGATTCAGACTCTACTGATCATTCTGGCTGAAGTCTAGAGAATGGATTACATTGGGCCAAACGTGGGAGTTGAAGGATGTAAGGGACAAGTGCAGTCATAAAAACAAGAAACAATAAATGTCCTAGCTAGAGCACAGGTGGCGAGACGTGGAGGTGAGGATGGATTGAGAGGGATCAGTCCACACGATCAGGCTGGAAAAGGAGGAGCGGGATGGAAGGAGGACATTGGAAAGAGCTAAATCATTTGTGGCCATCTATGTGGAACTCTTTGGTGGAAAAGTGACCTCCACCAATGCTTGGGGAAAATGACCCAGGCTCCTGGTTAGAAGTGAATAGTCTTGAGCCATATGCTAGTCTATTGCACGGGAATTTCTGGATATTATCAGAAAAGATTGTGGAAAGCAGAGAGCATGATGGAGGTGGAATTACCTTGACAAGTCTAGAGTACAGAGAGCTCTAAGGAATGCACCGGGGAGATGGGGCAGGACGGGGCCTCGCCAGGAAAAATAAAAGCCTCGTGTCATGTTATGGTTGTACATACTTCCATATAAGATTTTTAGGCAAACTATCGAAAAGCTCTAACTTGGGCTTCAGACAGATCTTCTATTAGTGGTGTGAAAGATGGGAGGGAGTTGAGAAGAGAAACTGGAGGTGGAGCGTGGGGGCATTTGTGAGAGATCTCTAAAACCATGCCATTAAGGAGACTTAGGAGTGAACGCAGACAAAGCCTCTTGGTGACCATTTACAAGGCCCAGTCTTGGGGGCTTACCTGCATAACCTGCATGCTACCAGCTGCACGTGGAAGTACTGTCACCAGAAGCAGCTTAGGGAGGGCCTGGATGGGCACGGTCTCTGGGTGTCCAGAACAGCTCTCCTTGGTGAGGGTGGGTCCCTCCACCCACTGCGTGCCCTTGCCCTTGTGGCACTCTGTACCAGGTGTGATTTGGGCATTGCCTGGTCCATGAGCTGCCTCTTCCATTCATCTGCCGCTCGCAGAAACCTGCCCCTGCTGCCCTTACTTCAGATCACTGGGGACCTGCTGAGTGGTGAGAGCTGGGTGGGGGGATGTGCTGGGAGGGCTGCTGCCTTCCCAGGCTCTGGACAGAACCTGCGCAGCATGGCCTGTACTCTTGCTCCAGGGAAACTGCCTCATGTGCTGTTTCCCGCCGTCCCTTGTGAGGCCTGTGTCTCCAAGTGTTCTCAAGCCTTCTTCAGCTGCTGTGCCAGTTCTCTGCCACCTCCTCCCTGTGTCTTCCCTACTGCATTTTCCGTGTATCTTACATAATCTCTCTACTGCCCTTTGCACCTCTTGGCTCATCATTCGGCCCTGAAGGCCCCAAGCTTTCCTAGTGTTAAAAACTCTCAGAGAATCATTTCCTGCCCTGGTCACATTTGTTTCCTCCAAAGAGCTCAAAGTACTACATAGCATCTCTGAGGGTTGCAGACTTAATATTTATGGAAAGGAAGAATAAAAACAGAAGCACCCCAGCCCCCAAATCAAAATCCACAATGCTCCAAACTCCAAGATGTTCTGAGCATGGACATGAGCCACAGCTGGATGCTCCTACACCTCACCTCCTGTCACAATGCAGCCACAATTAAAACATCGTACACAATTTCCTTCTGGTCATATGTATAAGATGTATATGAAATGTGAACGAACCTCGTATTTCAACCCAGGTCCCGTCCCCATGGTATCTCACTAGTTTTATGCAAATATTCTAAAAATAAAACAAAACCTGAAATTCAAAACACTCCAAGTTCCAAGCATTTGTGGTAAGGAATATTCAACCTGTATTTTACTTCCAGATATTATTAATAGACCTAGTATTTCAGACTAACACACAAAATATCCAAAGCGTTGATTGAAATTCTTGTTTAAAATCCAAGTTCACCTCAGTCAGGCATGTAAGTACCTCGCTATGATCATACCACTTGGGAGGCTGAGGCAAGAGGACTGCTGTGAGGTCACCGCCAGCCTGGGCTACCTGGTGACATCACGGCCAGCCTGAATTAAACAGCAAGACCCTGTCCCAAAAATGAAATGAAATAAAAACAATCTGAACTAAACTGTAAAATACATGTGGATATCCTTAGGATATAAAATCACTATGCATCCCGATTTTACGCTTCATGAACCCTAAAGCTGCTAGGAGCCTGACTGAAAGGCAGCTAGCTGCACCTTGTTGCTTCTGACTGCTCCAACCCAGAGTGCAGTTTGCTGCGCACTTTCTGACCTCACTGTTCTCTGAGGAGGTGACCTCCTGCCGTCGCTCCAACTCACTACCTCAATATCAATCCTGGATCTAAATTCAGGCAGAGCACACATTGACAGGAGAGCAGAGATTTAAAAGATCGACATCTATCTCAGTTTTGGGCTTATAATATTTTAGGTCTTATAATTTTTTTGTTTTTATGTATTTAGTACAGGGTCTGCAGGGTCTCACTACACAGATCGGACTCGTAGTGATTCTCCTGCCTTCAGCCTCGCAAGCGCTGGGATTACAGGCGTGTGCCACCTCACCAGTCTCAATGGCTGTCTCAGGTGCCCCAGGGGCGGGGCCGGTCTTGTAAAGTTTTTACCTTCTCCTTGAATTTGGGAGAAGCAACATAAATAGTAGAAGTATATTTGTTCATCTTTTTCATCATTTCATGAAAATGATTTCATAATAGGTCACGCATGTTTATAAAAATAATCACCCCGAAGCAATTTTTATGGTATTTGCTTTTTATTTTATTTATTTTTTTAAAAAAATATTTTTATTTATTTATTTATTTGTGTGTGTGGCCAGTTCAGTCCACCAGGGGGCGGGGCTGGCTGGCATGTGGTGCTGGGGGATTGAACCCATGGTCCCTGTGCTTTTTTGCGAAGCTTGTTCTAAGTAGGTGCTTTAGACCACTGAGCCATCTCCCCAGCCCCTGGTATTTGCTTTTTAAACCACTGTGATTAAGTCTGATTCTGACGCAGTTGTTCTTTAAAATCAAAATGCACCAAAACAGAAAACATTTTCCATTTACAAGAAGAGTCTTTGTGCCATACGAGGGAAGCAGGCCTGTGAACTGACACCCAGCCTCCAGCCCATGTACTCATCGTGTTCTTTAAACTGTGCATTCTAACTTTCCTCCACCTCCATTGTGTCCTCTGTAAGAGGAGTGCAGATATAATATCCACCTCATAGGAGGAGCAAAGTAGCTAAGAGTTGCTTCACAGGAGATCATGAGAATGGCGCCTGTCACGCAGTAAACACGCCACAGATGCAATTATTTTGTTATTAGGTTTTTATGCTGTGTCAAAATACAATACACTCTTACAGAATTGTTCTCTGCTGTCTGGGTGGCAAAGATTTAAAATATTAATTCTATGCAATCACAGACAATGGCTTCTGAAATTCTGTCCAACAAGGCACTGACCAAGAAATGTCCCTCTAGCAGAACGTTAGACAGATACCTTCCCAAGACATCAACACAGAACGGTGAAAGTGCTGTTGCTGTTCCTCTGGGTGAAAGTCAAGCTCTTCAAAGGAATTATTTCCCATTCTTTCCACAGATGCGATGGCCAGGTAGGACCTCCTGTGTCTGCGAGGGGACCCACTGCGGTAAGTAGCTAGAGAATTGGGTTACGCGAGGAAATTCAGAGCCTGGCCACCGTGCTCCCTTTCCATGTGGCCCACCACCGTGCTCCCTTTCCATGTGGCCCGCCACCGTGCTCCCTTTCCATGTGGCCCGCCCACGTGCACACTGTAGGGAGTCCTTTCCCTGCTTCCACTTGGCCCAAACTTGCTCTGGAGAGCCTGTTCGTTTTCCTACCATTAGTTTTGTTTTCCTCTCTTTGTTACTGGAGAGACAGAGAGAGACAGAAAAAAGGGAAGAAGGGGAAGAGAGAGAGAAATTCCCAATCTATTAAATCCCAGGCTGCTACCTATTTAGGTAGGAGTTGAGCAGGCTCTGTTTCAGACTCACTGTGGAAGCTGCGATTGCAGCTTGTGAGTTGCGTTTTCCGCTTGGCTCTGGTACTGGAAGGTGTGAAGGCCAGGCTCTCCTGGGAAGGAGGGAGGCCTCCGCCTTTCCACGGCCGCCCTGGGCCGCATCTGGACTCTACTGTGCACCACACCTGCACAGCCCTGAAGAGTTAGACAGAAGAAGAGGAAGCCACAGGGAGCTTGTAAGCTGCTTGGGCCTGGACTGGACCTTCTCCTCACTGATATTTAAAGAGGAATATCAACTCGGGTGACGTGTGCTTGGCTGGAACAGGGTCACAGAGGGGCTGGACACAGCATCGCCTTCTCTCACTGCAGACTTCAGCTTAAGTGCGCTCCATGCGGACTCGCCTGTGAGCAAATGCACTTTTCAACCTTTTGTGACTTTAGTATTAGTACCTAATTCGTCTGTCTGTCTGTCTGTCTGTCTGTCTGTCTGTCTCTCTCTCTCTCTCTCTCTGAGGATGCAATGTTTTTTGACAAATGCATATGAACAGTTTCTTTACATCAGACACAAAAGTGGCTCTTCTTTCTTCTTCAGAAAAGTGCTACTTTTTCTGCCCTGAACCCTGTTTCTGTGCTCCATATGTTTCCACCTCGGTCAGGACATCAGCACCAGTGACTGCTGAGTCTCATAGAGAATGGGACGTGCTTAACACTTGATTTCATTTATCTGAGAAAAATCTACGAAGCAGGTAGTCCCTATTTTCTTTCAGTGTGGGGATCAAGAAGCTAGGTTTGAAAATGGAAAGATCACACTCAGGGTCTCACTAGAAAGTGGCAGAGTCAGGATGAGAAAATCTGGGGTCCCAGGACTTCGCCAGCCTCCAGCTGGCCACCCTAAAGTCCTCCATGGGGACCCCAGTTCACTGCTGTCTGCAGAGACTCCCATAACTGAGCGGCACCTGAGAGTCTATCCTCTGCATCCAGCTTTGCTTTCTAAGAAAACAGGACCCAGGTCCAGAGTGCTTCTAGACTCAACCACTCTTGTTTGAGAACCACAAGATCTAAAGCAGATGAAAAAGCCACAGAAAAAGAAACATAAATGCCCAAAACTTATAAAATGGCAAAAGGAACTTGGCACTCTTAGAACTGGCAAATCTAATCAGAGGATTAGTAGGTCTCTTTCTCTGACTCTCCTTTGAACCCAGATTTTGTTCCTGATAACAGCTTTCTTTTATGCCCTGGCTCAGACCATGTCTATTTAAAAAGACAAAGCTGGGCAAACTAGTGACCCAAATCAGTGATTGTGGCCACTATTAATACCTATTATAAAAAGAAAAGAGAGACCCAAATGTGGTGATGCACTAGGGAGGCTGAGGCAGGAGGATTACCACAAGTTCAAGGCCAGTCTGGCTACTAGCAAGTTCAAGACTAGCCTTCACTACATAGCAAGACCCTGTCTCAAAAAAAAAAAAAAAGAGGAAATAAAGTACCATCTAAAACAGGATTTCTGCAGGACTTGTAGATTTCTGTTATGTATCCATAGAGGTCGTGTCCACAGAGAGCTGGAAGTTGCCAACGATATCGAGGGAATTCTTGCCAGGATTTGAGGTTAGAGACTTCCTACTGCTCAGTTGACAGCTAGTAGGAATGGTATTGGTTCCAAGGAATTCTAGCATTTTGTGGGAGTCACTTTACTGTATTGGATGGATGGCCTTCCACTCAGAAAAGAAAGAAGTTTGCTATTTAAACATTCACGCAAATTTAAAAGAAGCAAAGGGTTTCAGAAACACTGATTTTTATAGAGCTAAATAAAGACCCTCTAGGATTTCTCTCAACTTCAGAACTGCATGCATGGTGGGCAGACTAAGCTGGGAAGAACAATCCTGTGTATGGTGGGATGGTTAGCAGCGACCCTGACCTCTACCTACTGGATGTCACCAGACCTCACTATTCGTTCTCTGTGGATCAAGTGGCCTCTAACTGAGAACTTTTCCTTAAAGGTGAGGACCCCAAAGTCAAGGCAGTCACCAAGTCTGACAGTAAGGACAGAATGGAAGGCCCAGGCTGCATGGTCCTCAGCCTGGGCCCCCTCTTGGGTTCCAGCTCTATATCACTGGGAACAGCGCTCCCAGGTGGCCCTTAGCATATGCAAAGCCTGTGTCACGCTCACGCTGTCTGGCACTCAGTAAGGAAAGAAGACATGAATATGCGATCTTAAGCCACCGAGAACATTGGTGCACGTAACCTAGGCAGAAAAACAGGCCCAGAATAAATTCTTCAAGAAACACCTTACCTTGAAGAACTAATTTGTTGACTTTACCAAGGCATCTGATAGTATCAGGGAGCTTAGGTTTCAGCCCCAACAGCTGCTCTGCAGGTTTAGCTGCCCTAGGAAGTTCCTAAATGTTCTAAGGTTACTCTGTGACCTGGGGTTGGTTTGTCTAGTCCTGTCAGACCTGCAGGCAGTAGAGTGAGTTGTGTTTCTGCAGAAAGCCAGATTTTCTTACCCTAGTTTGTGTACTGTGTTTGAGAAAGTAGCTGAGTCCCTGAAAGCCGTTACTGGAGACTCTGGCCTCCAGTCCTGTGGGACAGGAGTGAAGCACGAGCATCTACACAAGTCCTCCGGGAAATTCTCTTCACCCCTACTACAGCAATGGCCAGACCCTATTCTGTGCTTTTAAAACTATTGATGAGGGCAGGGTGTGGTGGAGGAGTCCACAGTCCCCACCCTCTGGAGGCGGAGGGAAGAGGATTGCAAGAACTTGAGGCCAGCCCAGGATGCATAATGAGTTCAAGGCCAGCTGGACTACTCAGCAAGATCAGGCCTCAAAGGAGAAAAAAAAAAAAAAACTAAATTAAAACTATAAAAAGTATATGATGTTTTTGTTACTATTGTTACTATCTTCATTTTACAAAAAAAATAATAATAATAGAAGTTAAATAACTTACGTCATTGTCATCTAGCTATTAATGGCTACAGCCAGGATTAGGACCTGTACAAAACCCATTTGTGGGCCAAGTTCATAGCTCAGTGGCTTAATTAAGCACTTGCCTGGCAAGCACTAGGTGCTGAATTTGATCCCCGGTACCACACACACACACACACACACACACACACACCCTCATTTGCTTCGCTGTGTCACCTCCAACATGTTATTTTGAGTTGATATTATAAATTTTCAGCATTTCAATTTCGGGTCCAATCTGCACCAGAAGTCAGACGGCCAGAGTCTTCTACCCTGGCACATCTCAGATCAGCTCATAACTACGTGCCGAGTACCGTGCCACACGCAGTGGGGCTTGGAATGTTTAAAGCAAGGTTCCTCTTTTGTAAGAGATTACCACACGCATCACTAAAGCACCAGTGAAAACCAAGCTGGTAGGAAGAGCAGGGACCGGGGTCAGGTCAAACAAGTGCCAACAGCCAGTGCTGTCACATACTTTGCAAGTGATATAACCAAGACACTTGCCTGAGGCTTGGTTTGTCTTAGCAGCAAAATGGGAATGATGATTCCTACCTAAATCACAATATTGTGGCTCCAGTTGGATATTGTTGTAGGAGTGCAATAAGAGAGAAGAGAACATGCTGAATACTAAGTAAATGAGTGATTTTGTTCAAATATATGTAAGTTGATAGCAAATGCATGTACACACACACACACACATATGCACATGCACATGCACACACATGCACGCACATACAATGTCCAGAAGAGGGGTCTGCTGTTACAGGGTAGTATGTGGACTTCATGTTACTCCATCTTCCATGATAAATGCTGCACTAGGTGGTCAGGATACAAAGGAAAACGTGCTGCTTCCTTGGTCACGTTAGACATTTATCACTTTCAGCATCCCGACTCATTTTCCGTGAATCCTTGCTTGCCTACATCAGAACAGCACTGAATTCTATGACAGAAAGGAGGAAAGATTTGTAGTAAAGTAAAAATGGAAGGAGTGTCAACAACTTGGCATGGTAGATACAATAGCAGAGGTACAAGAAAAATATTGAGAATTAGCTGGGCATGGGGAGGTACACCTATAATCCTAGAGTTCAGGAGGCTGAGGCAGGAGTGCTGACAGTTCCAGGCCAGCCTGGGTTTCATAGTGAATTCAAAATTAGTCTGATCTATGTAGTGAGACCCTGTCCCAAAACACAAAACAAAACACAAAAAAACCCTGAGATTAATTCTACCTAGATTTGGAGAAGGGATTATAATGATGGTAATATTTATTTATTTATTTGGTGGAACCCGGGATTGAACTCAGGCCCTTGCGCTTGCTAGGGAAGCACTTATTCTACTGAGCCATCTCCCTGGCCCAAATGATTAATCAACTTAAGATCTAAATTTCTTTTCTTTTTCTTTCTCTTTCTTTTTTTCTTTTTCTTTTCTTTTTTTGCGGTACTGGGGATTGAATTTAGGACCCTGCACTTGCCAGGCAAGTGCTTATTCTACTGAACTATCTCCCCAGCCCTGGAAATGTTTAAAATGGGCTCTGAGCAATATGTTGCTGTTTTCCAGGAAAATAATTGGAAAAAGAGCAAAAATCAGCAGCCAAGGCACAGAGGCCAGGTAGTGCAGTAACCTGGGGGGGACTAAGTGGTGACCTCGGTGCAGAGGGCATCAGGAGAGACAAAGGAGGAAAGGCTTATGAGAAGAGAGCCAAAGAATTCAGGTACAAACTTCTCCAAAGAGATATTCGCATCCTCCAGGCCAGAAATTAGAAATAGGCCAGGAAAAATACCTTCTAGCAACTTCATAGCACCAAGTTTCATTCGGGGCAGAGGGGCCTAAGTCCAGACCTGAGCCCTGACTGGGAGCCAGTGTCTCTCCTAAGCCCAAAGGCTTTGCTCTGCTCTGGGTCCCAAGGAGCCTCAGATCCCAGCCACTCTCAACTTGTGTTTGGCTGAAGAGACCTCTACCGCCTGGATGAACCAGAGCTGCAGGACATGACGAGGAGGCGAGGAGGTCCCGCACAGGCTCTCACCCACCCCCCATGGCCAGAATCCTCTTCCTCCTCCAGCAGGAAGGAACAGTCTGCCCTGAAACCTCAGTTGTTTCAAAGGAAAACAATAGTTACCAAGAGCAGTGAGGAGACTTACAATAATGAGCTGATGTAACATATGAAGCCCTAACATAGAGTCTATAATAATCAATGTTTAGTAGCTACTGCTAATAATGTTAACATCAATAACATCTCACACTCACTCAAAGTTAGAGATCTATAAAGTAGTGATAGCACTCAACAGTCCTTATGGCTCACACCAACCGTTAACTAGCAATTCCTTATTTTTAAATAGTTTTGTCAATTAGGAAAAAAACTAATGAAAATCTTTGAAAAGTTAGAGGTGAATGAAAATCAAACCTAGATATCTTCTTAGCCATATCATTTGCATTTCTATGTGGTGGAAGCATTCTAACAAGTCAGGTGAGCAGGACTGACCTGGAAGTAGAGGATCTGGAAGACCTATAAGCAAGGGAAGGTGTGTCAGGGTCCCTTGATAAGGGTGACCCTTCCCAGCATACAGAGCTTCATCTCCCACTGGAGCCCTCAGAGCATGTGCTTTCCGTTTCCTGTACATTTTCACTCCACAGATCTGATCTTTGTTTTTTGTTTTTTCTGTATTTTTAGGGAAGAGTCTACAGGGTGTTCAGGGTCTCACTACTAGATTCGACTCAGAGTGATTCTCGTATTTACCGCCTCCCAAGAAATGGGATTACAGGCACGCGCCACCATGCCCAGTCTCAATTGCCATCTCAGCACGCCCCAAGGGCAGGGCTGGCACAGCAGGCCCAGGGATCAAACCCTCAGCCCTTGCGCCTATCTGAAGGTGCTTTAATCTGCTGAGCTATTTGGCAGGCCCAACAGATCTGATCAGGAAACCGCAAAGAATGCACTGTGGTCTACGCAAAGGAAATCTGAAGTTCATGCAGGTTTAAATGGTTGAGGGAAAATGAAGCTTGGCATTCTAGTCAAATATATCTACTTTTTAAAATGTATTAGTGCAGAGTTTTCAAGGTCATACTATGCAGATCAACCTCAGTGATTCCCCTGTTTTCAGCCTCCCAAGTGCTAGGATTACAGATGTGCGCCACCACGCCCAGTCTAATTCTGCTCCAGCCGCTGAAACTGCAGATTTAGGAAAAATAGACTTTAAAGACTCATGGCTAATTATTATTAACTCCCCCTCCCCCCAAAAAAGAGTTAGAGACATTAGGCCGGAAACAGAAGCAAATACCTTGATGTGCTGTAGGATGAAAAGAACACTGATTTCTAAAAGATTAGTTTAAGGTTTATTATCTCCAAATGGTATCTCCCTGTAGTTGTGATTCTAATATATGTTCACTTCTTAATTTTATATTTATATGCTAAATTATATCCAATAACCATTAAATTATCATGGGAGCATTTCTTCTTTGTTAATAAATCTCTTCTGTGGTTTGCCCATAGTACTGAAAGCTGCAAGTCAAAGAAATTTGGTTAGCTGGTCATGGTGGTGCACACCATGAAGTCCAGCACACAGAAGGCTGAGGCAGGAGGATCACCGCAAGTTTGAGGCCAGGCTGGGCTTCATAGTGAGTTCAAGGCCAGCCTGAACCACATAGCAAGGCCCTGTCTCAACCCTCCTCCAAAATAAATAAAAATAAATTTGGGCAGGTTCTTATAAGAAATAACTGACTTAGACCTTCAGAAAGAAGATAGGAGTTACCACCCAAGACTGAAGAATGCAGAGACCAAGAAAACCAAACTTCTGGTCTGCGGCGAAGAAACGTTAAAAATCCAAGCTTTGGAAATGTTAGGTACTTGGTCACAGGCATTAAAGACAAAATGAAATGTAATAATAAGGAGCATGGAATGGGAAGAGAATGCGAGGGGAGAAGAAGGATTCAGGAGGCCAGGATGGGGTAGCAGGTAAGCTAACAGGTGGCGGAGGGCGTGGCTGCCCTCCCCACTCCAGGGATCCTGGAGCGGCAGGATGAACTGCCTTAGTGGCACCGATAGAGCCAGTTAGGCAGAGGAAATGCAAATGGAGCTTCAGCGCAGGCAAGTACAGACGTGGGATGGGAAAGTCTCACGGTGCTCTAAAGACAAATCAAGCTTGCAAGTAGGGCCGTGGTTAGGTTTGATGAAATCAGTATAAACGTTTGCCAGTTAAAAAGAGGAAAACAACTTTGGCTCTAGCTCTATAGCAATAATCCTTTAAACTAGCAAAAGTTAAATGAATTATAAAAGGGCTGGTGAGATAGCTCAGTGGACTAAGAGCCTGCTTAGGCGAGCACAGGGACCAGGGTTTGATCCTCAGCACCACATGCCACTCTGGCCCCACCTCCAGGTATGCTGAGCCAGCCACTGACACCAGGTGTGGTGGCGCACACTTGTAATCTCAGCACTGGGGAGGCTGAGACAGGAGGATCACTATGAGTCTGAACTGCGTAGTGAGTCCCTCTACCGAATACATTTAAAAAAAGAAAGAAATTATAAGATCGTGCTTTCCAACACTTTGGTTTCAGAACTATTAATTAACTCTTTATGGTGGTGTGTGGGAGTCTACCATTCTAGGTGATCTCTGGATAAAAATACTATTTTTCCCTAAGTCCATCAAGCTCACGAACCCTAAGGTTCATCGTGAGCTTCCACTAGTCTTCATGAAATATGTAGAGATAGGAAAGCCCAAGTCTCAGCCCCTGGGACACAAAAGACAACGCTTCCAGCTCCAGAGAGGTCAGTCTCTTTCCTGATTCCCAGGAACTACCCAGCCCCACAAAGTTGTGTAATTCCAAGTAAGCTTATAGGAAAGTGCAGAAGAGAGGCTCAGTGTCTTGCCTGGACACTCATAACTGGAAAATTAATGTATGGGTAGAGTGATCAACTGCAAGTGGCAAAAACAACAAAACACTGTGGGTTGAGCAATAAATGTTAGAGAAAATGATTTGTAGTTCTTGGACTAAGGCTGTGACAGTTTTTTTCTTTTTCTTTTCTTCTTTTTCTTTCTTTCTTCTTTTTTTGTGGGAACATGAGAGTATTTTAGCTAGAGCAGACTCAAAAATATGTTTGTTTGTTTTACTTTAAAATTAGGAGACAAAATTATACAATTCACCTCTAAAACATCAACCAGTTGACAGTGCGTTTGTCTCCAAGCCAGCAACCATGAGGGAAGGAAGTGGCATGCCTCCTCTGTGGGATGTTTCGGTGCTAGAAAATGAGTTTTTCCAAGGTAAGTCTACTTTTCTCCAAGGTAAGTCTGCATTACACCTTTGGAAAACTCTTACTATTAAAGTAAAGCAAATAATTATTTTAGTTTATATTAAACTGCTCAAGGGCTAGCCAAATAGCTCAATGGATTAAAGCTCCTGCAAGCAGATGAAGGACCAGGGGTTCAATCCCCTGGCCTGTCGTGCCGGCCCCACCCCCAGGGCATGCTGAGGTGGCAATTGAGACTAGGCGTGGTGGCATGTGCCTGTTATTCCAGCTCTTGGGAGGCTCTAAACAGGAGGATCAGTATGAGTCCAATCTAGTGGTAAGATCTGAACACCTTGTAGACCCTTCCCTAAAATGCAAATAATAATAATGATATAAAATAAAATAAGCCCGGGAGATGGCTTAGGGGACTAAGTGCTTCCCTGGCAAGTGCAAGGGCCTGAGTTCAATCCCCGATTCTGCTAAAATAAAATAAATATATCAAGCCCTGTATTTTGTATTCGAAGTCCTTCTATTTATCTTATCTGTAGAGAATAGTGATGTATGCTAGTCACACAAGTATTGAAGAACTTTATGGTTAAATAGAATCTAAGCAAATAGTCTCAAATCAGCAACTTATTAATATATAGAATAATAATGAAGTTTAATATTTAACTTAAGGGGGCCAGGGAGATGGCTCAGTGGAATAAGCGCTTCCCTGGCAAGCGCAAGGGCCTGAGTTCAATCCCTGGTTCTGCCAAAAAATATAAATAAA